TTTTATTTTTGTTACAGATGTTTCTCCTTTTTTACCCCATTGACACCCTCCTCCCCATCCCCCCCGTCCCGTCCCCGGCTTTGTTGTCCATGTCCATTGGTTATGCGTACAGGCATATAAGGTCTGTGGTTTATCTCTACCCTCCCCCCACCACTCCCTCTTCTCAGGGTTGTCAGTCTGTACCCTACTTCCATGTCTCTGGGTATACCCTATTTCTCAGACTGTTATATTCATTATATTCCATATATAAGTGAGATCATGTGGTATTTATCTTTTTCTGCTTGGCTTGTTTTGCTTAGGATAATACTTTCCAGGTCCCTCCATGTCATCTCAAAGGATAAGAGATCTTTCTTTCTTACCGCTGCATAGTACTCCATTGTGTATATGTACCACAGCTTTTTTATCCATTCGTCTACTGATGGACACTTGGGCTGTTTCCAGATCTTAGCTATTGTAAATAGTGTTGCTATGAACATGGGGGTACATATATTCTTTCCAATCAGTGTTTCAGACTTCTTAGGGTATATTCCTAGAAGCAGGATCACTGGGTCAAATGGCAGTTCAATTTTTAATTGTTTGAGGTAGCACTGTATTGTTTTCTATAGTGGCTGCACCTGTCTGCATTCCCACCAGCAGTGTGCTAGACTCCCCTTTTCTCCACACCCTCACCAACACTTGTTTGATGATTTGTTGATGGTGGCCATTCTGACAGGTATGAGGTGATACCTCATTGTTGTTTTAATTTGCATCTCTCTGATGATTAGTGATGTTGAGCATTTCTTCATATGTCTCTTGGCCATTTGTATGTCCTGTTTGGAGAGGTGTCTATTCAGCTCCTCTGCCCATTTTTTAATTGGGTTCTTTGTCTTCCTTTTGTTGAGTTGTATGAGTACTCTATATATTTTGGAAAGTAACCCCTTATCTGATATATCATTGGCAACGGGTTGCCTTTCCATTTTGATGGTTGTTTCTTTTGCTGTGCAGAAGCTTTTGAGTTTGATGTAGTCCCATGTATTCAATTTTTCCCTTGTTTCAGTTGCCTTAGGTGATGTATCAGTGAAAATTCTGCTCCGTATGATGTCCGAAATTTTGTAGCCTACATTTACTTCTAGGATTTTTATGGATTCATGGGTCACATTTAAGTCTTTTATCCATTTTGAGTTTATTTTTGTGTATGGTGTAAGTTGATGGTCTAGTTTCATTTTTTTGCATGTAGCTGTCCAATTTTCCAACACCATTTATTAAAGAGGCTGTCTTTACTCCATTGTTTGCTCCTGCTTTCTTTGTAAAATATTAATTGAGCATAATGTCTTGGGTCAATTTCTGGGTTTTCTGTTCTGTTCTACTGGTCTATATGCCTGTTGTTGTGCCAGTACCAGGCTGTTTTGATTACAGTAGTTTTGTAGTATAAGCTGATATCCAGTATTGTGATCCCACCTACTTTGTCCTTCTTTTTCAAGATTGCTGTGGCTATTCGGGGTCTTTTTTGGTTTCATATGAACTTTTGAAGTATTTGTTCTAGTTCTGTGAACTATGTCGTTGGTATTTTGATGGGTATTGCATTGAATCTATAGATTGCTTTGGGTAATATGGACATTTTGATGATGTTAATTCTTCCAATCCATGAACAAGGTATGTGCTTCCACTTTTTTATATCTTCCGCTATTTTTTTTTTTTTTTTTTCAATGTCCTGTAGTTTCTGCAAATAGGTCCTTTGCTTCTTTGGTTAAGTTTATTCCTAGATATCTTAATTTTTTTGCCGTGATGGTAAATGGGATTGTTTTTTGAGTTTCTCTTTCTCTGAGTTCATCATTGGTGTATGAGAATGCCATCGATTTCTTTTCTTTTTTTTTTTTTTTTATCCTCACCTGAAGACATTTTTCCGTTTTTTGTTCAGATAGAGTGGGAGGGAGAGAGAAGAAGAGAGAGAGAGAGAGAGAGAGAGAGACAGAGAGAGAGAGAGAAAAACATCGATGTGAAAGGGACACATTGAGTGGCTGCCACCCGCACAACCAACCAGGGCCGGGGACCAACTGCAATCGAGGTATGTGCCCTTAGCGGGAACTGAACCCAGGTCTCTCTGGACCACAGGCGGACACTCTAACTGCTGAGCCAAATTGGCCGGGGCCGATTTTTGACGTTATTTTGTATCCTGCTGCTTTGCCAAATTCATTTATTAAGTCTAGTAGATTTTTGATGGAGTCTTTAGGGTTTTCTATGTATGAATAATATGTCATCTGCAAATAATGAGAGTTTCACTTTCTCCTTTCCATTTTGGATCCCTTTTATTTTTGTGTCCTATCGTGTGATCTGTCTTTGAAAGTGTCCTTTGTGCACTTGAGAAGAATGTGAATTCTCTAGTTTTGGGGTGTAATTATCTGTAGACATCTATTAAATCCATTTGGTCTAGTGCTTCATTTAGAGTCTCTGTTTCCTTGCTATTTTTTTGTCTAGAGGAACTATCCAGTGATGCCAGCGGGGTGCTGCAGTCCCCTGCTATAATTTAATTGCTGTCAATTTCTCCTTTGAAGTCTTCCAGAAGATTTTTAATATATATATATTGGTGCTCCTGTATTAGGTGCATATATGTTTATCAAGGTTATATCTTCCTATTGGATAGATCCTTTCAATATTATGTAGTGTCCTTCTTTGTCTCTAGTTATGACCTTCATTTTGAAATCTATTTTACCAGATATGAGTATTGCTATCCCAGCTTTTTTTCCTTTTCGTTTGCTTGGTAGATTTTTTTCCATCCTTTCACTTTCAACCTATGTGAGTCTTTTGTTGTGAGGTGGGTCTCTTGTAAACAACATATAGATGAGTCATGCTTTATTATCTAATCAGGTACTCTGTGTCTTTTGATCGGAGCATTCAGTCCATTTACATTTAAGGTGATTATTGATATGTTCTTATTTATTGCCATTTTTGTTTAGTTTGGTTCTATTTTTCTTTATGTTTCTTTTTACTAATTACAGCAGTCCTTTTAACATTTCTTTCAGTGCTGGTTTGGTGCTAATGTATACCCTTCACCTTTTTTTTTTTTTTTTTTTGGTCTGGGAAGCTCTTTATTTGACCTTCTATTTTGAATGATAGCCTTGCTGGGTGGAGTAGCCTTGGATTCAGATCCTTGTTTTTCATGACCTTGGTTACCTCATGCCATTCCCTTCTGGCCTGTAGTGTTTCTGTTGAGAAGTCAGCTGAGAGCCTGATAGGGGTTTCTTTGTAGGTAACCTGTTGCTTGTCTCTTGCTGCTATTAGGATTCTCTCTTTGTCTTTAATTTTTGGCATTTTGATTACTATGTGTCTTGGTGTGGGCCTGTTTGGGTTCTTCGTACTTGGGCCTCTCTGTGCTTCTTGAACTTGACTGCCTTCTTCCTTCACCAAGTTAGGAATGTTTTCTATTTCTGTCACTATTTCTTCAAATATATTTCCTAACTCTTGCTCATTTTCTTCTTCTTCGGGACTCCTATGATGCAATATTATTACGTTTCCAGTTGTCACACAGTTCTCTAAAGCTGTCTTACTGTTTTTTTATTGTTTTCTCTTTTTGTTTTTCTGATTGGTTGATTTTTTCTACCCTGTCTTCTAATTCACTGATCCAGTCCTCAGCTTCCTCTACTCTGCTGTTTAGACCTTCCAATGTGTTCTTTATTTCTGATATGTCCTTCTTGATTTCTTCTTGGTGGTATTTAATTTCCAATTGGTTGATTTTCAACATTTCTGTGTCTTTACTCATGGTGTTGGTGTCCTTACTCATACTGTTGAGCTTCCTCAAGATCATGGCTCTGAATTCCAGCTCTGTTAACTTGCTTAACTGCTCCACATTTATCTCATCTTTGGTAGAGGTCTCTTGTTCATTCATTTGGCTTTTGTTTCTTTGTTTCGCCATTTTGGGTATCACAGTGGGCTTTGGAGTCTGCCAAATTTTCCCTGTTGGTATTGGTGTTCTGCTGTTTGTGGCTCCCTCTCCTGGGTTTGGATGAGCCAGGGAGGACTTACATTAAACACCACTATCAAGTCTTATTTTCCTGGTTAGAGTTGCTGGCCTAGGAATGGTTCAGTTATTCTCTAGCTTTTTGCCTGGGGGCTATCAGTAGGGGTTACTTGAAGAGACTTGGGTTCTCAGTTGAATGAAAAACTCCCTCAAGTGCTCAGTGAAAGGGGATTTTCCGAGTGTGGGGCAGATGCTGGTTGGTAATGAGCCTCAATTTGCATTTCAATGGCCCACCTGAGTGGGGTTGAATCCCCGAGGGAGAGGCCACCACCTCTCCCCAGAGCCCTGGGAAGGAGTAAGATGGCCACCATCCTGCGTGGCTACAGCTCAGCAAAAGCTCTGAGTGCCTTCCAAATCTCAGTGTCCCCACACAGTTCCAGTCCAGTCTGCCCTCCCTCTGCCGGAGCTTAGGGTGAGTGGCTGTGGCTATTTTAGCGTCTGTCCCACCTCTGGGCTGTGGAGCTGCTTTGGAGTTTAACCTGAGTGCGCTGCTCTTGGCTAAGGCCCCTGCTGTCTGTGGGTTCCCAACCCCTGTCTCGCACCTTCGCAAGCTGCTCTTCTGTTGCTTTTCCCCGACGATTTGTCTTTATTTTAGTTGTAATTCCAGTTTGGTCCTGGGAGATGGTCTGTGTGGCTTCCATTCACTCTGCTGCCATTTTGGAATAGGTTAAATTTTTAATTGACTAATTTGTTCCCCTTTTTTCTTAAATTGGTTTTGTTGAGAGGGAAAACTCTGTTCATGAATCATAAGATACATTATAATAGTATTCAAGGCATTGAGTCATATGATTCCAGACATTCCTCACACATAAATGACTCGCTGTGTGTGTTTTGTGTATAGTTTATCCTGTGTAATAGAAATGTTTCTCAATTTGAGTAGGTCTGATGATATTTAAACACTCTGGGGAAGTTTGCTATTTAATGATGAACACTGAAAAGCCTTAAGCCAAGGACTCAGCTTTCAATAAAGTCTGATATTTTAGTGGTTCCATTTTACCTTTTTCAGCGACTAATTGTTCAGTAATTTCTGTGCCAAGAATTCTGTTTGCTGGGGTAAGTACTCGTATAAAAAACATGGTCTTATGGAAATTCATTGTGGTTAAAGAGATAAGAATTTTTAGCTTGGTAAACAACATTAATAGCTGCTAGGCCAATCTCCCTGTACTGGAGCATCTGTTACTATTATAAGGAAAAAACAACATCCCAAATATATTAAAATTTTACGAGGAAGTGTATGAAGAGCCAGTGGTAATTGTTACATCTTTATAATATCTTGATATATTATTAGCCTTTTTTGATTGCCTATGAATTATTTTAACCTCTCTTTTGATTAGCTGTTTTTCCTAATTTATTCTCAGTAGTCTGTCTTTCTTACAGTAATTGGAGTGTTGCCAAACTGGAAAATTATTATAATGTGAAATTAAAATTTTTTATTCTTTTAAATCTTGAAAGTTACAATATTCTGGCATGGTAGGAGACCTGAAAATACAATACCTATTCAAAGAAGAAGTTTAATTTCTAGGCTATTAAGAAAAACTGTGGTCTAGGTTTGTGGGGCAACTCTGTTCTGTAAGATTATTCAGGATTCTGTTGCTTGGCACACTTCTGGGTTATTGGCCTACCTTTTTGTGGTCAAAGCTGGCTCAGTTTCACATCTGCCTTCCAGCCTGTGTCAAGTTGGAAAGTCTTAGTTCATCTCTAAGGTGGTTCTCCTTTTAGGAAGTAACAAAACTTCAGGGCAGCCTAGAAATGTATTCTCTGTTCTAAAACTTTATTCCTGTATACAGAGGGAAAAGGGACAATTGAAAACAACTAACCATCTGTCACAAAAGCCTGTATAAAAAAAATTGGATGTAAATTTCAAAATAATTATTTCTAAATGAATCGCTTTCTCAGATGCAACCAAGTCAGCAACACTCTGTTGCAACTTTAGATGAGTTGTAAATATGAATTAAAAATCCTAGAATGTGACTTTCCTAAGATCTTGCTTCTCAAACTGGAGAACATTGTTGTTTGAGGGGTGGAAGTACACAAAGCCATACATTAGACGTAGCTTCTCCTCCTGGGGGGTGATTTGTAAAACTGTAGTTTTGGTATTTAGAAAGATAGGAATATATATTTAGAGCCAAAAATGGAACCAGCAGGAACTCTAAGGAAGATTGTTTTAAGGGATAATTTCAGATTCCCAGAGGTAGTTTCCCTTTTTGCCACTATGGGCACTCCTGTGGAAACATTTTCATAAGCAAACATTTTGATTTTTTAACATTTGTTTTATTTAGTTGTGTCAACAACTCTAAACTGTAAAATTGTGGAAATATATTGTGGGGTTGCAGTATGAAATAAAATTTGCCTATGTATGTCAGAAGCTTGGGTATTTTTAATTCAAAGGAAGTCTTAAGAAGCTATTTCTTTATCCTCTTAGATTTTTCTTTTATTCTTTTTTTTCTTTTATCCTCACCCGAGGACATTTTTTCCATTTTTTGTTCAGATAGAGTGGGAGGGAGAGATAGAAAGAGAGAAACATCGACGTGAAAGGGACACATCGAGTGGCTGCCACCCGCACGACCAAGCAGGGCCGGGGACAAACTGCAACTGAGGTACACACCCTTAGCGGGAACTGAACCCAGGTCTCTCTGGACCGCAGGCCGACACTCTAACCGCTGAGCCAAACCAGCCAGGGCAGATTTTTCTTTTATTCTTTGCTGCACTTTTTATCATTCTTTTAAAGCCCCCCCCACACACACACATACACACACTTTTTTTTTAGGTTTTTCTTCTAGCAAGTAAATACTTGGGGACTTACAGACTAAACTAGAGTTGTGGAAATAGTAGGCTGGTAGTTTAGTTTTTCTTCATTTAAAGAATATTAAAATTAATTTTCTATTAAAATTTATGTGCCACCTTTCCTTCTTATCACAGGACAATGAAAAGAGAACTCCACTGCATGCTGCAGCCTATCTTGGAGATGCAGAGATCATTGAACTGCTTATTTTATCTGGTATGGTAAGCTCTATATAATAAGAGCACATCATGCATATTTTTGTCATAATTAATATTTATTGAACCTAATTGACTATTCCTTCATATTTGTTTAATAAGCTGAAATTTACTGGTTCATTCTACAAATACTGATCTCATCATATGCCCAGTACTGTTCCACAGGTTAGCGTACATTAGAGAGCCAAATAATTCAAACACATGCTTTCTCAATAAATATAATTTATAATAATGTGGCTACAACAAAAATATGCTCTTGTAGAACATATGTTCTAATAATAATAATAATAATAATAATAATAATAATAAAAAGGCTATAAATACAAGTAAATTTTACAGTATGTTAGAAGGTGAGAAGTGCCATAAGAAAAAGTAGATGAGAATAATGGGATGAATGAGCGTTATATAGGGTAGGGTATTTACAGAGTATTTGTAGTGGCTCTAATTGACCATGAGGTACTTGGAGATTATTACAGTTCTCCAAAGGGGATGTGATGGTCACTTAATCCAAGTACAGCCATGGAGGTGGTAAAAAATGGTATGATTATAGGTATATTTTGAAAATGGTACGAGCAAGATTTCTGTCTTTAAATAGCTTTTACCTAATTCTGTTTGAGGGCTTGTAAAACACATTTTTTAGGAATTTACTTTATTTTTAAATTCTTGTAAACTGTTTAAGACTTTACAATATGAAGTAATGGTACAACTGTCTCTCGTAGGATAGCTCCTATTTGGACAGACTGTCTGTAGTCATAAAACAGGCAGTCAAACAGAGCTTAGAAATATTTTTGTTGTAGCCACATTATTATAAATTATATTTATTGAGAAAGGATGCATGTGTTTGAATTATGCCAGTTGCCAGATTATGTAGATATGTGAATAATGAATGCAGTTGGAGAAATAGTAGTATAATTCCTTGGAAGAAGGAGCACTAAGAGAAATTTTGAATGCCAATCCTATTAAATTGTAGCCTAAACAGAATTTTGCCTTTATAAATTTATAAAACTTTTAAGATCTGATTTTTAATAATGAATTTTATAATCATATGGAATTAAATATAGTTAAATATGGACCTAATATTATGTTAGTTTCTCCAGGAATAACTTTATCATTGATGCACTTTTTTAACATATCTGTTCTTCTGTGGATGCTGATTCACTAGTTTTCAGCTGAAATTTACTAGCCATAAGAACTGAGGGGATCAAGAGAAAAATGGGATTTTCTTATAATTGAGGCATTTTCTACTTTAATATGAATTAATGGGATACAGGTTAATATATGGAATTTTCTTTACAAACATTGTCCAGTAAACAGTTTTATATTTAAAAAGAGCTAAACTAGAAAAAGTACAATTCCAGTTAGCTTAATGCTTAGGACTTTGGGTAAGAACTCTGCTGATGCATTGTTTTTTTTTCCATTTTAATCCAGAATTTTGTTCAGTTGCTTTCATTTTAACATAAGGATCTTATGATTCAACTTAGAGGGATTTTTTTCCCTTGCTTAAAATTTTTATACCTAGGAGAAACTTTCCAAATGCTCAAAGTTTGACTTTAATCCCTTCTTTTTCTTTATTTATTTACTTTTTTGTTAATCCTCACCTGAGGATATTTTTCCATTGAATTTTTAGATAGAGTAGAAGGGAGGGGGGGGAGAGAGAGAGAGAGAGAGAGAGATACATCAATATGAGAGAGACACATCAGTTCATCAATTGGTTGCTTCCCACCCAACCCCGACTGGGGCCAGGGATTGAACCAGCAACCCAGGTACCTGCCCTTGACTGGGAATCGAACCCGTGACCCTTTGGTCCTTGGGCCAGCACTCTAACCTTCAAGCCAAACTGGCCAGGGTTAATCCCTTCCTTTTAAAATGAATGTTTGCATCAAGGATATCTAGTTACTTATAGAAGGTTGACTTCCTGGTATTTATAATGGATGAGCCTTGAGTGTTATAGTATCAGATAACAGCTTTGAAATAAGTATTTGAAAGGACGCGTAAAGACTTGAATAATTTAAATGCAGATGGTGTATGACATTAACTATTACAAATGTATAAAAAGGTATTTCAACCCTTCTTTGAAAAAAATACTTTTAATATATTGTATTTTACCGGTTTCATGAGGTAATAGCTTATGTAGCTATTTTTATAAGGAAAATCTAAGTTCTAAATTAATTAATTTATAGTTCTCAGAATAAAAAAATAAATTTTTAGTTGTTTTTTGTCATTTACTCTCTACTAAAGTATAAACTCCCAGAAGGCAAGGATTTAGTCTGCTTTGCTCCCTGAAATATTTATTTCCAGTGCGTAGAACAGTGTGGAATACCTAGTAGGTTCTGAGTAAATATTTGTTGAGTGTGTGTGTGTGTGTGTGTGTGTGTGTATATATATATGATTATAGCAATGTAAGTTTAGACTCCGTCTCCTGTTTAGAAAATTGTTCACATTTTGGTCTCAGTTTTCCAAGTCTGTATTGGAAATAAGACTGGGAGTGGTGACAATAGGTTAGTAGTGTGGGGTTAAAGGGGATCATGTAAGTGAAAAAGGAAAGAAGGTAAATGATTTGTTTCCTATGGATGCAAATAAGGCTCTTCTTAGACTTTATTTCTCTTCAGACTATCAACTAGGCTTTGATTTAAGAAAAATAAAATAAATACTTTACTTAGATTTGGAGTGAACTGGGTTGAAATGAAATCCAAGGCTAGATTTCTAAAACAGAACCTTACTTTTCTACATTTGAATGAAAAAACAATACAAAACAAAACAAAAGGGGTGGGGGGAGGTGTTAGTGAGGGGTAAAGGAGAAACATCTGTAACAAAAATAAATTAATAAAGTAATTAAAAACAAAACAAAAACAAGCTCTGTGTTGGCCATGAGCGGCACAGCAGATAGTATAAAGAGCACAGACTCTGGCCAGATAGATTTGTATACAAATCCTGGCCCCACTTCTTAATCTCTCAGCTTTGACTTCCTCATCTGATAAGTGGGGAAAATATAAATTTTATAGACTTGTTAAAGGAAATGAGATGATGTAATTACCTAGAAAAGTACCTGGTACATAACAAATACTGAAAATTTGGGCTATTTTTTTTTTAAGCATCCCTTCTCTTTTTTTAAAAGTTCTCCTCTGCCCACTTTGAGATCCAGTCACAGTCTGAAATAATAATGAGGAAGGATTGACTGAACTATGGGGGGAAATGGAAAGAGCTTATTTCTACAATCTAGAGAGAAAAGGACAAAAGAAAATAGACTCTATATGCTCTTGGAACACATATATTCTTATTCAGCCAATTCTAGAATCAAACAACAGCCCTTAAAGCTGTACGTGTGTCTTACTGAACGGGGCCCCTAGAAGCTGAGTATATAATGAGGGTTTGTATAATTTATGAATAACAGTGCTATAACAAGTTAGAAGATGGAATAATCAGGAATGTGTTCCTAACTTTTAAAATTGATGCTATAGCCCAGGCCGGTTGGGCTCAGCCGTTGGAGCGTTGGCCTGTGGTCTGGAGAGACCTGGGTTCGGTTCCCGATAAGGGCACATACCTTGGTTGCAGTTTGTCCCCGGCCCTGGTTGGGTCGTGTGAGTGGCAGCCACACGATGTGTCCCTTTCGCGTTTATGTTTCTCTCTCTCTCTCCCTCCCACTCTATCTGAACAAAAGATCAAAAAAATGTCCTCGGGTGAGGATTAAAAAAAAAAAAATTGATGCTATACAGGATGACTGCCATGACCTTCTATAAAATACTCCTTTACATAATTTAGGACGACTGAAACCTAAATCAGAAAGAATTTTAGTTTGGTGAATTGTGGCATTTGCTATAATTTTGTGTCTATGAAATGGCTTGTGCTGATTTTTATAAAAATAAAAATTTTTTAAATGTTTCTTCATTTCATTCATTTATATAAATTTAAATTTCCAATTAACTCTGAAAGTTGATTAGAATAGTTTTATAGAAGATATAGTACATAATTTAGGAATCAACAACAAGTTTAGGCCAACTGTTGAATTCTAAGTATTAGAAGTAGATTTCTAGAAATAACAAGGTAGTAAAAAAAATAATTATATTCACATTTTAGTTAGAAATTTTTAACAATGGCTAGATCATTTGAACAGAAAATCTGTAAGGCAACATTGGACTTAAACTACACGTTAGAACAGATGGACTTAACAGAAATTTACAGAGCATTTCATTCAGCACAACAGAATGCATGTTCTTTTCCCGCGCACATGGAATATTTTCCAGAATAGATCATATGTTAGGTCACAAAACAAGTCTTCATAAATTTAAGAGTGAAATCATATCAATCACCCTTTCGGCCATAATAATAGGAGACTAGAAACTAATTACAAGAATAAAACTGAAAATTTCACAAATGATGTGGATTTTAAACAACATGCTACTGAACAGCCAAAGGGACAGAAGATATCAAAAGAGAAAGCAAAAAGTATCTTGAGACAAATGGAAATATACCAAAATTTATGGGATGTAGCAAAAGCAGTTTGAAGAAGGAAGTTAGTGTAGGTAAACACCTACATTAAAGAAAAAGAAAATGCTGAAGTACACAACTTTTCATCTCAAGAAATTATAAAAAGGACAAAGCTCAAAATTAGTAGAAGGAAGGAAATAACAAAGATCAGAGCAGAAATAAATGAAATAAAAAGATCAGTGAAACTGAGAGCTTGATTGGGGGGGTGGGGGTGGATAGGCAGACCTTTAGTTAGACTTAGCAAGAAAAAGAGAACTCAAGTAAATAATATAAATGAAAGAGGAGACATTACAACTGATACCACAGAAATACAACGGATCATGAGAGAGAACTATCTGAACAATTATATGTCAACAAATTGGACAACCTAGACAGATGGATAAATTCCAAGAAACATACTGCTGAATCTTGTGGAATATACAACCAAGACTGAATTGTGGAGAAATAGGAAATCTGAACAGACCGTATATTAGTCAAGAGATTGAATCTGTACTTAAAAACCTCCCAACAAAATAA